ACACCTTGGCAACTTCTACAGAGCTCCCCCTGCTACCCGTGTTAGGGCTGGTGCTTGAACCACTGGAGTATCCAAGAGAACTGGCAGTTCAGTTTAGCTTTGTCCCCCGCTCAGGGGTTGAGCAGGGAGCTCAGGCCACTGTGCATTCCACAGACCACGTCACTGCCTGAAGTAACAGAGCTTCCCCCATAAACAAAGGTCACACATAAACCCATCGGATTCCACTGCAGCTGGCTTTTACCAGTAAATACCACCTGCTGGCCTGCACAACCCAATATAAATTCTGCTGCCACAAGTACAAAGCAAAGGAGAACAAGATAACTTCCTGAGAACTCTGCCTTCCAGGCCCAGCGGGAGATGGGTGAGGACCCTGCTCACACACCCAGCACATCACTACTATCACTAGCATTTGAGAAAGCTACCACAAAAAGGCCATCTATAACCAAGAAACTCAGAGTCTTTGTCACTGAAAGCACCCAGAACTGAAGTCAAACAACTATATACAACATACATTATATTCACATTCTCAAGGGAAAAAAAATTCTGCCAAAGTAAATTTAAAAATAAAGAAGAGACAGTTTATCCAGATGAGAATGAAGCAGAGTAACAACTCTAGAAGTATTTAAAAAAAAAAAAGAGTGCTGCAACATCCCCAAGACTCACACTAACTCTCCAGCAGTGGACCCTAATGAAAATGAAATCCTTGAAATACCAGATAAGGAATTCAAAATATTGATTTTAAAGAAGCACAATAAGATCCAAGAGAAAGTCAAAAAACCAACACAAACCAGAAAAACAATACAGGATCTAAATTAAAATTTTACTAGAGATAGCTATTTTTTAGAAAACCAGACAGAAATTCCAGAAATAAAAAATTCATTGTAGGAATTACAAAATACAATTGAAAGCTTGAACAGCAGACTAGACCAGCAGAAAAGAGAATCTGATAGCTTAAAGACAGGTTTGAATTAACCCAGACAAAAGGTATAAAACTCACATATCTACCAAAAAAAAAACAATCCAACCATATGTTGCTTACAGAAAACCACCTAACTGGTAAAAACAAAGACTCAAGGTAAAGAGGTAGGAAAAGATATTCCATGCAAATAGAAACCAAAAGTGAGCAGGAGAAGAAATACCTGGACAAAACAGCCTTTTAAGTCAACAACAGTTAAAAGAGAAAACAAAAAGAAGACCATTAAATAATGATAAAGGGATCAATTCAACAAGATATAACCATCCTAACTACGAATGCACCCCACACCAAAGCACTCAGATTCATAAAATAATTACCACTAGACCTAAGAGACAGACAGTAATGTAATAATAATGAGAGACTTCAACACCTCACTAATAGCACTAGAAAGATAATCGAGACAGAAAATCAACAGTAAAACACTGAACTTAAATTGGACTCAGGATTAAATGGACCTAAAAGACATTTAAAGAACATTCTACCCAACAACCACAGGACATACATTCCTCTTAGCACATGGAACACTCTCCAGGATAGACCATACGTTAGGCCACAAAACAAGTCTCAATACATTTTAAAAACTGAAATCATATCAACTATCTTCCCAGATCACAGTGGAATAAAACTAGAAATCAATTCCAAGAGGAGAACTCTCAAAACTACACAAATCCATGGACATTAAACAACCTGCTCCTGAATAACCTTTGGGTCAATGACAAAGTTAGGATGAAATGTCAAAATTTTTTGAAATGAATATAAATAGAGACATAGTAGACCAAAACCTCTGGGATACAGCAAAGCAGCGGTAAGACGAAGTTTATAGCACTAAATGCCTACATCAGAAAGAAAGATCACAAATTAATGACCTAATATAACCCTCATGGCACTTGGGAAAAAAAAGAACCAACCAAGTTGAAACCTAACAGAAGAAATAACAAAAATCAGAGCAGAACTAAACGAAACTGAGACCCCCCCCCCAAAAAAATGCAAAGTATCAACAAAACAAAGTTGGTTCTTTGAAAAGATAAACAAAATCAATGGACCACTACTCAACCAAAAAAAGAAGAGACACAATTCAAACAAGCACAATCAGAAATGAAAAAGTAGACATTAAAACGGATATTACGGAGAGACAAACGATCATCAGAGGCTACTATAAACATCTCTACATTCAAAAAGTAGAAACCCTAGAGGAAATGGATACAATCCTGGAAACATACAACCTCCCAGTATTGAATCGGAAGAAACAGAAATCCTGAAAAGACCAGTAACAAGTAGTGAGATTGAATCAGTACTTTAAAAATCTCTCAAGAAAAAGCACAGAACCAGACAGACTGAGAGCCAAATTCTACCAAAGGTACAAAGAACTGGTACCAATCCCACTGAAACTGCTCGCTGCAAAAAAAATAAAATAAAATAAAGTTGGAGGGAATCCTCCCTAACTTGTTCTATGAAGCCAGTAACACCCTAATACCAAAGCAAGGCAAGGACACAACAAAAAAGGAAAACTACAGGCCAATATTCCTAATGAATACATGCAAAAATCATGGCCTAGAAGAATTAGTATTGTTAACATGACCATAATGACCAAAGCAATCTGCAGATTCAATGCAATTTTTATCAAAGTACCAAAGTCATTTTTCACAGAATTAGAAAAACAATCTTAAAATTCATATGAACAATATGAGTAGCCAAAGCCTGAATAGCAAAAGCAAATAACAAAGCCAGAGGCATCATGTTACTTGACTTCAAATTATACCTGAAGGCTATAGTAATCAAACAGCATGGTACTGATATAAAAATAGGCAAACAGATTAGTGGAACAGAATAGAGAATCCAGAGTCAAAGCCACATACTTACAACCAACTGATCTTTGACAAAGCGGACAAAACATAACACTGGGGAAGGGATATCCTATTCGATAAATGGTGCTGGGAAAACTGGACAGCCATATGCAGAAGAATGAAACTACATCCCTATCTCTCACCATATACAAAAGTTGGAGACTTAAATGTAAGATCTGAAACTATGAATATTCTAGAAGAAAACCCAGGAAACACTATCCTGGACATTGGCCTAGACAAAGATTTCATAACTAAAACCTCAAAAGCAAATGCAACAAAACAAAAATAGACAAGATTTAATTAAACTAAAAAGCTCTGCACAGCAGAGTAAACAGAAAACCTACAGAACGGGTGAAAATATTTGCAAACTGTGCGTCTGACAAGGGACTGACATCCAGAATCTACAAGGAACTCAAAACAATTCAAAAAGAAAAAAGAACCCCTTTAAAAACAGGGCAAAGGACATGTACAGACATTTCTCTAAAGACATACAAATGGCCAACAAGCATATGTAAAAATGTTCCACATCCCTAATCATCAGAGAAAGGCAAATTAAAACCACAATGAGACATCATCTTATACCCACTGGAATGGCAATTATTAAAAAGTCAAAAAGCAAAAGATGTTAGGAAGAATGTAGAAAAACGGGAATGCTTACATACTGTTGGTGGGAATGTAAATTAGGATATCCTCTATGGAAAAGAGTAGAGATCTATCAAGGAACTAAAAATAGAACTACCATTCCATCCCGCAATCCCACTATTGACTATACACCTGAAGGAAAAAAATCATCATATCAGAAAGATACCTGCACTCAATGTTTATCACAGCACTACTCACAATTGCAAAGATGTGGAATCAACCTAAGTGTCCATCAATGGATGACTGGATAACAAAAAATGTGGGGTGTGTGTGTGTGATTTCATTCCTTTTTATGGTCAAATTCCACACCTTGGCCATGAAAAAGAATGAAATCACAAGTTTTGCAGCAACATGAATTGAACAACAGCCCATTATCCTAAGAAAAATAACTCAGAAAGAGAACATCAAATATCACATGTTCTCACTTATAAGTAGGAACTAAACAATATGTACACATGGACATAGACAGTGGAATAACAGACACTGGAGACTCAGAAAGGTTGGGGGGTGAGGAATTAGAAATTATCTACTGGGTACAATGTACACTATTCAGGAGACAGGTATTAAAAACCCAGATTTATGACTATGCAATATATCCATGTAACAAACTGCACTTGAACTCCCAAATCTGTAAAAATGTAAAAATGTTTAAAACACAAAACAAAATGACAGCGCTACCACAGTAAGCTTCTCTCCCAAATCCAAAAGCCTAGCTAGCATCCTCTTCTAGTTGTCAGACGATCCCAGTCACATACCATCACCATGTCATGACCATCCATTGTGGTCAAACCTCATTATTCTAACTGCCTTAGTGAAAGGTCACCACAGACATCCATGTTGCCAAATCCAAGGGCAATGTGTTCTGCTTTTCTGTCCGCCCTGCATCCCCTCCTTCAGGTATCTGCCCTGCCCCACTCCATGTAACCTGGTGCTGTCAATCCACTTGGATTCATATTCTTCACAGGATAGCGATCCTGATCCAAAAGGCATACATCTGGGGAAATGAAATGAACCCTAGGAAAGAAGGGGCTGCACCTTTTTCTCTGAGACTGTCAATCCTCAGGACTATTTAACCTTTAATGTAAGCCTAACTCCAGTGACCATCTTTGATGGCACACACACTGTCTGGGAACTACAGCCAAAACTGGAAGGCACAAAGGAGTGGGAGTGCGGGGAGCACTAAAGGAAATGGGGGCTGGGGGAGAATGTAAAAACAGAGTTTAAGAAAAACATGGGTGAGAAGGGACAGCCATCTAGGAGATATCTTTCAATATCAAATACACATCTACATAATTCTTCATAACGGTTGTCTGCACAGTATCCACTAGACAGAACTAACCTAGTTTCAGCTCATACTAGACATTCAAACCGTTATCATTTTTAACTACTAACCAATGTGTATTATGTATTATAAACATTTATAATTTCTAAACATTCATAATTTTTGTATAGCTATATACGTATAGCTATACACAGTCATTTTAGCAAAACTGAGGAATCATATTGCCAATCCAGTAATTTAAGGTAGTTTTACTTACCCACTGAATGATAAGTGTGTGTCTTCAAGTCGTGCATACAAACAGCACTTGATGGCCCGCACTGGACAACACCCACACTTCCGCAGATGTTGATTTTATAAAGTACATTATTTTTGGTATCAACAGCTTCCCATGTATAACTGGAAAGGAAGAAAAACAACTTGTCACTGTCACTGATTTATCAAAAATTAAACTTCTCTCTAGTTTTATTCAAGCCACATTTGCTTAAAACTGCCACAAACTAGAAAATACACTTTCCTTAGGCAAAAACACTAAAAAGTCAAGTATGTTAAGTTGCAAAGAAGCCAGGGCAGAAACTACTAACACCATCTGTCTCTGGTTCAATCCACTCTGAAGCTACCTCAGGACTCAAAGATCATCAAAATAGAAATATCTGGCTGGGCGAGGTGGCTCAGGCCTGTAATCCCAACACTTTGGGAGGCCGAGGAGGGTGGATCACAAGGTCAGGCGTTCGAGACCAGTCTGGCCAACAAAACGAAACCCTGTCTCTACTAAAATTACAAAAATTAGCTGGGCATGGTGGCACATGCCTGTAATCCCAGCTACCTGGGAGGCTGAGGCAGGAGAATTGCTTCAACCTGGGAGGTGGAGGTTGCAGTGAGCCGAGATTGTGCCACTGCACTCCAGCTTGGTCAACAGTGCAAGACTCTGTCTCAAAAAAAAAAAAAAGAAAGAAAGAAATATCTTACCATTAATTTAAGAATATCAACTCAGATCAGTGTATTGGTCTGTTCTCACACTGCTAATAAAGACATACTCAAGACTGGGTAATTTATAAAAGAAAGAGGTTTAATTGACTCATAGTTAAGCATGGCTAGGAAGGCCTCAAGAAACTTACAATCATGACAGACGGGGAAGCACACACATCCTTTTTCAGCAAGGAGAAGTGTGGAGCAAGAGGGGGAAATGTCCCTTATAAAACCATCAGATCTCATGAGAACTCACTCATGATCATGAGAACAGCATGAGGGTAACCCCCGCCATGATTCAATTACCTCCCACCAGGTCCCTCCCACCACACACGGGGATTATGGGAACTACAAGCTGAGATTTGGGTGGAGACATGGCCAAACCATATTAATCAGTAATTGCTCAAGACTCATGCTGAATATAAGATAGTAATAGCCTTTCCAATCACACCAAAATGCTGAAAAGCCAAAGGATTTTTTAACTCTATTTTATTAAAAAGCTAGCTATGGCACGAAAGGCAGCTCCACTTCTGCTTTTACCTCTTAGAGCTACAGTTCAGATCTGAACTTGCAAGACAGAGCTGTGCAATGAGTCAACTATCAGATTCGAAATCACACAAAATTCACTACACCAAGCATTAACACTCATTGTTCAAACCTCTGGAAAAGCAGATAGTGAGTAATTGCTAATGCATCAACCAGTATACTTGGGACATAATAGGTGGTTTCCCGGTTCTGCGAAAACAATTATTCTCAAATGTCTACTCTGCCCTGGGGAGAATGTTTTGTCCATTTTGTAAAATGGGGATCAACTCCTCAGCAGGAGTAAAAACAGAAAAGGAAGAAAGTGTCTTAAAATGTCCTTGCAAAATGTAAAAAATAAAGGCCAGGCCAGGGTCTCATGCCTGTAATCCCAGTACTTTGGGAGGCGAAGGCCAGAGGATCACCTGAAGCCAAGAGTTTCAGGCCAGCCTGGGCAACAGAGCAAGATCCCATATCTACAAAAATAATTTTTATCATTTTAAATGCAAAAGCTGTTATTTACCTCAACAGTATTGCTAAAAGAAGGGGCAATAAGTTAAATCAGAATTGCTTAGGCTAGGTCCATCCAGGAGTTATGGAGGCCCTGGGGTAAGACCGCCATATTTATCTACCTAGCAGTGTTATGCAGCCTATGCAATACCCCGTTGACGACAGAAGCACTCCCTCACAGAAGGAGTCGTCCACTTCCCAGAGCTCCCTTCCACAGTGCACCAAGGCAATGACTCAGCACAAAACCAACCACCAGGTCCTCCACAACATGTCCCCCTCCCCGACCGTGAACTAGTTTCAGCAATGGAGGAGCCATAGTAGCCCTGTTGGGGTACTGGAAGACAAGGCACCAAGAACTCCTAGGTCTGGAAACCCATCGAACCCACCTGCCAAGAAACCAAACCACATACACAGGCCTTTAAAAGCAGGGAGATGGAAGGTCTGATGGCCACTAAGTGGCTACAAACCTGAAGAGCAGGCTGGGGTACTTAGGTGCCCAGTCTTAGGGTGACACCCTTGGGGTGTTACTCTTCAACTCAGCTTCTTCATCAGGAACATGTTAAGAGTTATCTCCTAGACTCAGGATGAGTCAAGGACATTAGAAAATAACCCAAGTATTATCAGGCACAGAGAAAAATCATCCATAAAGGCTTGTTTCCTTTGCCCTTCATTAACCTTTATTCATGTGTTTCACAGGTATTTCTTAAGTACTTACTGCGGGAGGCACAGGAGAGTACAGCAATGAACAAAACAAAGAGGCCCTGCCCTCTCGGAGCGTATATTCCAGGTTGCAGGATACAAGATAAACAAGTAAACAAAGACTTGGCTACTACTCAGGAAAAATGCTAATCTCTTATCAGGAGCCATAACTAGTTTCTCCAGGATACCAGAGACAAACCTCAAGAAGCGGCAGTGGCATCATTGCATCATTAAGCTATTTCACAATCCTAAGTATATGATACTGGTGCATGAGGGTGTCATTTAAAATAAGTTAACTGGTAGAAATCAACGCTAGAGATCCACAAGTACCTAAAATGCTATGCTTTTCTTTTTTTTTTTTTTTTAAGACTGAGTCTGGCTCTGTCACCCAGGCTGGAGTGCAGTGGCCGGATCTCAGCTCACTGCAAGCTCCGCCTCCTAGGTTCACGCCATTCTCCTGCCTCAGCTTCCCGAGTAGCTGGGACTATAGGCGCCCGCCACCACGCCTGGCTAATTTTTTGTATTTTTAGTAGAGACGGGGTTTCACCATGTTAGCCAGGATGGTCTTTAGCTCCTGACCTCGTGAACCCGCCCAACTCAGCCTCCCAAAGTGCTGGGATTACAGGAATGAGCCACCGTGCCTGGCCGGCTATGCTTTCCTTAAAAGAAATCCACCATTTTTGCAAAGGGGATATTTAAATAAGGTAAAGAGTGTGTGTGCTTGGGGAGCAGAATCAAGATTTTAAAAAGAATAAAATGAGGGATATTGTCCTGATAATCTGGAAATCAGGGCTGCTAGAGAGAAAAGTGTTGCTCTATTCAATTATATTATTTTCTCTATTTGCATTTCATACTTGTTTTGTCAAGACTCATCAAATGTAAGTGGTTATGGAAGTAGGAAACAGGAGCCTATTAAAATACTTGAACACTGACTTTTTTCAGGGGGTTGATTTAACCACTCAGCACAAGGCAGCCCTCCTCCAGGCCTGGCAACTTCAATGCCATTCAAAGCCATCAGCAGCACCTGAGGCAAAGGCACCAATATCTCAGAGTTCTTAGCCACAGCTTTAAAACGAAGAATGGTCACAATAGGTTTCTAAACTTCACTCCAAAGACACCTGCAAGTTGTCAGTACTTAAAACATTCTGATGTTTCAACGGACATTATGTCTCCTTTAAAACAAACTAATGGCAGGGCGCAGTGGCTCACGCCTGTAATTCCAGCACTTTGAGAGGCTAAGGCAGGCAGATCACGAGGTCAGGAGTTCAAGATCAGCCTGATCAATATGGTAAAACTCCGTCTCTACTAAAAATACAAAAAGTAGCCGGGTGTGGTGGTGCACACCTGTAGTCCCAGCTACTTGGGAGGCTGAGGCAGGAGAATCGCTTGAACCCAGGAGGTAGAGGTTGCAGTGAGCTGAGATTGCGCCACTGCACTCCAGCCTAGGCAACAGAGTGAGACTCTGTCTCAAAAAAAAAAAAAAAAAAGGAAAAGAAAAAACTAAACTAATACGCCTAGCCCCTAGTATCAACAGGAGCTCAGAAACAGTCATGTGGTTTAAATAATCTATCTGAAAATTTATGAAGAATATTCCAAAAACTATTATGTACTCTGGTATGCACTCTGGTTAAACTATCACTAGACAAGCTTCCACTAAAGTAAATAGTTTTTAAAGACTATTTCATAATAAACTTAAAATCATATAAATAACTGATAACAAGTTTTAAGAAATCACATGTTTGAAACTAAAGGATTCTAAATTTCTTTCCACATTAAAGGCCAAGCCTCCAGAATACCCTAAGCTAAAATCATTCTTAAATTGGTATTAAAGTTTAAAAGCACCATGATCACATGATAGAACTAGAAAATGGTTTCAGAAGCAATAAAATTATTACAGACTAAATAAAATTTAATGATATATTTGAGGAATAATAAATTTTTTGTCTGAAAGTCTATTAGAAAATTCTCTACCCGAAGTGCACATGTACAGCCAGAATTAGGAAACTATTCCACAACAGTATGGTTCATTTAACAGCCAAGCAAATGGAACCATTCAGCTGAGATTCCCAGAAAAAGCCTACATTCTAGACTAAGTTATCTGAGCTTACACAAGTAAAGACTTAAGAAAAAAACTGACAGAAAAAAAAAAAAGAGATCAACATACTCAATCAGAGAAAACTAAGCTGTAATACTAAGATGTTAAATGTTAGCAACAAACAAGCTTCTGGAAGAAAGTATCTGCAAGCTGTGTGGAAACACAGTCTTCACTCAAACACACACACACACACACGAAGGAATGTGTTGAATACATTTTCTGAAAGAAAGCACTTCAGGCCATGTGTGGGTGGCTTATGCCTGTAATCCCAGCACTTTGGGAGGACAAGGTGGGAGGATCACTTGAGGTCAGGACTTCGAGACCATTCTGGCCAACATGGTGAAACCCTGACTATTAAAAAAAAAAAAAATACAAAAATTAGCCAGGCATGGTCGCGCATGCCGATAGTCCCAGCTACTCGGGAGACTGAGGCACGAGAATAGCTTGAATCAAGGAGGTGGAGGCTGCAGTGAGCCAAGATCGCACCACTGCACTCTAGACTGGGTGACAGAGTGAGACTCCCTCCGTCTAAAAAAAAACAAAGAACCTCTGCAGCAGGATAGGTAAAAAAGCCCAGTGAGCATTTTCTTGAAACTCTGTCAAG